ATCATACCTGAAGAAGACAGACCAATGTTCTGTCGAAACATGTAGAATGTTCCACCATCAATAAAACTCTTCCTTATGCTTATAAATCATTGTCTCCAATTATTATATCAGCATAATATGTTTCCTTACTCAAGTAAGCCTTTTTCATTATTACTGTACTTGATCATTTTATCTAATCTTGTGTACTTTTTAGATATAACAGATTTAAAAGCTTACAAAGTACTGAACAAACATGATTTCATTTAATTCAAAGTTTTTCTGTTAATAATTTAAAAATAAATCATTTTACACAACAATCTTCACATTTTTAAGCATCAGTTTAGTATATATTATTCATAAAAAATCCAAAGTATTAGAATAAAAACAATGAGAGAAATGTTTAGAGGAACCCCGTTCTTAACTAACAGTTCAACTTGTAAACTACTTGTTAAAAAAGATTAAAATACAAGATTTATGAAAACCTGATTTGTCAGCATGCCTTCTTTATACATATCACCATCAGGTTTGCTAAAAGAAAATACATGGTATAAGATACTTAGAATATGACATTTGTATCATTTTAGAGAACAGATTCTACTTACTGTTCTTTGATTTCTGTGTATTCTTGTTCTTGTTTTGCCATGTCAGTCTCACTGGCATCTTCGGTGTCTAATAAGTATTCATAATACTTTGTTATTTCAAACATCTTTTTAAGATGAACAGCTAATAATTACTATTATTTTAAATACACTTCTGAGATAGGCTAGTAATCAACATTAATTTAACATACATAAAAAGTTTGAATAAACATCTATCAACATGAATACATTTGAATGCTGAAAAGAAAGAGTTTAAATTGTCTGGTTCTAAAACTAAAAAAAGTTAAAATATACAAATTAAGAACTTGATAAAAGCAAAAACACAGTAACACCATAAATTTGGAATTTAAAAATTTGCAATATACATCAAACTAATTCAAGAAGTATCTAAAGTTAACACAACATTTAAAAATTTTAATGTTTTGTATTACAAAAAATAAAAGTTAACAGTCTTGCACACAATGTATATTATATCACACAAAAGGTAAAACACTAATACTAAATTATATGAAATACTTTATACGACAGGAGTATTAAAATAATTTTTTTGGGGGGAAACTGTTTCAGCTAAACCTAACAAAGTTTGCAATTTACAGCTTTCATCAGTACTAGCAAATAATGTGTTATCTGGAAATATACATAGTGTAAATCAAACTGTGTGGTGAGACATTTTTCATGAATCATACAAGTTTAGCTTTTTCTCTTGTTTTCACTACTTCTTTGTTAAATATAACTTCCAAATCTACTTACCTTCATCAGAGTCCCGATCAGCATCAAACTCACGGCTGTTATCATCAAAGTCGTATTCACTCATGATGAAGGTCTTAATTATAATCATAAACCTTTAGCAACAAGTGAACAAGTCTCTGGAAGATCTTTACAAGCTGATTATCAGCACAGCAATAAATACCTAACCAAAACAGACACCTCCTCCACCTGGTTATGGATATTTCACCTCAAGATTTATTTGAAAATTGGCAATCTATTAGATAAAAAGTAATTTCTATTATTTTGTGGTGAAGTTTATTAAAGAATTATTCAAGTAATATAAAAAATTACCATGTGAATAGTACTAGTAATATTATAGAAGGATATATTATAATCAAATAATGGCCTCCCATCTTGAAACCAGTTACACTAAATTACAATCACATACACATGTATGAAGGTAATACAACCCCAACAAAATATGTCCAATGCTGCAGTTTTAATTACTGCTTCCTTAAGCTCAACTGGCTGAAAACTGTCAGACTATAGTCTACAAGTTACCATTAACTCAAACTTTAAATTATATTTCTTCTTTTATAACATCTTATGACATTCTATCAAAACAAGTTTAGTAAATCATCAAGTGAGACTTGAGTATCAATCACTTTTTCAACTTGAAAATAGAGACCTCAAAACTAAAACCCTAACTTGAAAGACACAAATAACGTTAGATCACATTTATATTTTTTAATTCTAATAATGAATAGTATTTCTACAAGTTATAACATTTGAGATTCAAACCTTTAGACACAAGCAAACAATGGTGTAAACATAACACACAGGTAATAATGGACCATTTGGTTCTTCAAGGTTGCCCTTTCACAACCACCCTTGAGAAAAGAAAAATTTAAACCCACCCTTTATTTTTAAGGAAATTATACAGTAAATTTTGCTTCACCACTGCCACAAGCAAGTCAATCACCCTGTTATAAAAAACTTTCTTAACTGATATTCAGCCAGTTATTTCCAAATACTAAACTGGTGATCTCTCATCCTATTATCTTCAGAATATAGCACAAATAAACCAAGAGGCCTTAATCTTATTCATACACCAGATAAACACTAATAAGATCTTTTTTTTTTTATTAAGAAAAATAAGTTCGAAAATCTCAAACTAACCCCATAACTCTTTTATCTCCAAAATCATCCTATTAGCCCTTTTCTAAACCTTTACCAACAATTCAATATCATTTTTTAGGTTAAAAAAAAAGACCAAAACTGTACACACCATTTTAATCCAAATAAGGTAAGGCCTATCTAGTGATTTGTATAGAAATAACTACCTCTTTTAACTTGGAATCAATACATCTATTAGCTTCACTAAAACTAAAAGCAACAGAGCATTACTTCAAGTTCAATGGCTTGAGTGACTTATCCACCACTATGACAAGATCATTTTCTTCAGTCATGCTATTGATTAGTTCTCACATATATATATGTGTATATATATATATATATATATATACTATTATTAAACATGTGATTAAATTATGACAACCCAAACGCATTACCTTGAACTTGTTACAATTAAACGTCTTTCGCCAAATATCTGTTCAACTAACCAACTAATAGTCATTCTGTGGTTCCTCAATACCTTCAAACTCAAAGGCTCAATGCAGCTAGAGCAGAAATATCAGTTTATTGTCATCCATAAACTTCTAATTTAGTTATTAGGCTACTAGTACTAATACTATCAGTATCAATATCCTTTATGTAAATAAGAAAATGCAAAGGCCCACGTAACAAAATCCAGTTTAAGTTTAACTAGACTCCATTAATAATAACACCCCTTTTGCTTTTTCCTATTCACTCTACAAATACTTAGTCTTTTCCCAATACCCACAGATGTGATTTTCTTAGCTAATAAGTAATGTTCGGCACCCCATCAAAAGGTTTTTTTTCCAAATGAAAATACACCATGCCCACAACTTTTACATCGTCCATTACTCAATTTACTGGCATTAGTACTTATAAATTACACGACCTACCATTAACTTGATTAAGTGCGTTGACGTAGAAACTTGCAAATACAACAAACATTTACGACGGTCGTGATATTTAAGTTTTACCTTTACTTTAGACTAATGTCTCACAAACACTGATTTTTTTTTTACAACATGCCACAGTTGTGTAATAAAGACTGTAATCCAAACATGGTAAAGCAAGGGGAAGTCCAGGATATCTATTTCTTTTTAGTCTTTAATAAACTTGAAGTAGTCTTTCAATATGACAACTTTTCTTTCCTCTTGCTCAAAGTTAAACACATGATCCATTGGTAACATCAATTCTCATTCCCATTTCGTCAAACTTCTAACGCTCTTCCGCACAAATTCAGGTGTCATTACGCATGCGCATAATAAAATATTTTTAAAGTGTTAACTTGTATAAAACTGCGAAATTACAACTTGAACGCTAAATCTGATGAATAGGCCTAATATTTGTGATAAAAATAACTTTAGCCTGAGATTTTTAATCAAATTTCTCGGATTTTGACTATTTACATATTGCAAATAAGAAGTGCGGGTAAAAATAGCATTTCATACATATCAATATCTAAAAATAAGAACTGCCCATAGACGGTTTCTTCTATACGAGAATTCGTCAACTGAGCCGAGAAATGAAAAACAAAAGTTTATTTGAAACAATATTTCCACTGACGATTTTTTTAATCCTTACGCTGGATATAAAAATCCTGAAAAATCAACAACAAATCCTGAAATTATTCCTGTGACTACTATAATTTATTCAAAACCTTTCTTTTTTATATAAATTTCAATTTGGCCAGTAGCAAAACCCATTTCGTTAATTCTTGTGATCAAATACGAAAAAAAGAAAGAGATTAATTAAAGATTGATAAAATTTACAAAGTAGCATACACAAAATATCTGGTTAAAATCGTAAATACTGCATGCAGTTGTTTTTTACCTCTTGTTGCAAGTTATAATCATATATACAAAACGAACTTTATTTTACATAAAAAACAGTTTCAATAAACACGTGTTTATTCATAAAGAAAAGTAAAATATCA